AGGGTCCTTGGTAAGGATTGAACCCATGAAAGCGAAAGTATACTTGCAGGTCATCGTGCTGTTGTTGCATCATGTTGTTGATGTTGGCGAACTGAGCATCAGCAGTCTGTTGCCATTCTTGTATCTATGCTATGTGTTCCGTGAGGTTGTATTGGATCTCTCCCGTATGCTTATCAAGGGTATCCATTCTCATGGTGGTTTCACCCAAGTCCCAACGAGAGGAACTTGAGCGCCATTTACCTGGAGATGGAGGCATACCACTCGATCTGGGGGTTGATTGCTTATGTCCTCCCACTGTGTGTCATGAGGTGCACGCCACCGGTCTTCACTGATACTTGCCTAGCTTGAGACTCCGATGCAGTGGCGTGGAGCTTGGGTCCATCCAGGTGCATCCCTAGTTGGCTCCCAACCTGCCTCATACATCTGCACAGGTGTTGAGGATGACGAACCTTCTCATTCATTCCTTGCCATGTTGTGTGTCTCCCTGTATGTTCCACCTGCACGAGATTCTACTATGGTCTGCAGGGGAATGGTTAGTTCATGGCAGTTGTACAAATGATACCCCGCATTAGGCAACGGGATTTCATTTGTACAACCGGGGAAAAAGTATACCAAAGATCCATCTACTCCATGCTTAAGAATGTGCCCTTGCACTAGATAATTCTCATCAATACAGGGACGAGCGGCTGAGATAAAAGCAATCTAGTCACTGACAACCCCTAATCCCTTTGCTATCCGAGTAATCAAGGAAGTGCACTCAACAGGAGCAGAAAATCTTATACTTTCTAACCATTGCCTTATCATACATTTCACAGGAGCAACTTTGATCTTTCTAACCATGGCAAACATGATAATTAATTCATCCCACCTAATGGGTCTAAGATCACCTATAGGAAACAAGGTCATAGCAATCCATTTGTGCATAAGCCTAAGTGTAGGGTTATGGATATCATTCGTCCTAGGTTTCTTGCAAACTGGAGCACTAGAAATGTCTTCCCAAAACATATTTTTCTCGAACCCAGAAATTCCTTTCTGGAGATCGATTGTACAGGAGTTGTGAAAACCAATAAGTGTACTTAATCCTTTCCATGAAAGTGTGTATTCCTTATGGAAAAAACGAAAGGAAATTCCATCTTCTGTTTCTTTCAAAGTGCACAGAAATTGCAAAGTAAGCAAACAAGAACCAGGCTCATCCACCACAACAAATCTCTGCCAATCAACAGCTTTCCAAATAGCACAAAAGTCAGTATCCATACCTATCTTTTTCAGCAGCTCCGGAGAGTATTCTCACATGTGAGCATACTCTCGGTCACTCAGTGATGAGGGATGTTAGGTCCCGATCTTCCGATAGGTATTGATAAACAGTCGATTTGGGCGGAGTCGCGACACAACTCGATTCGGCTTCTGAACGAACACGCTACTGAGCCCCGCAATCGTAGCACCACATCTCCTCTCGTTATCAACCGTGCCGAAACCCAGTTGACCTCGCCGAGAAGACTAATTCCAGTATGCGAATCGAAGAACACAAGCAAGAACAAGATAGATTGCAACCAAATTGCATATGAATGATTAAGCACACGAATTTGGGGTTCCACAAACCGATCTAGCGGCGAAACTGTTCTTAACAGAATAATCTAAGCAAAACCCAACTCTAAACAATGACGGCTACTGAATTAATATGATTAGACGTCCTAGGGATGCCCTAGGGCGCACACCCCCTTGGGCTAAGCCCACGACACAATTACAAGGCCCAAAACCCGAGTTAGATTCGGACTGGATGAGATATGTGACTTGTTTTGCAGATTCCCGTCAGCTCGGTAGGAATTTTGATGTGGGACCAAAACAATCTGAAAGTAGACTCCATAAGCTTTCCAACAAGTACTCATGGGCTCCGAAATTCCTTCTAGATCAGCGGCTAGGTCCTTTCAAAGTTGATGCTGTCAGGAGGCTCGAATCTGAATCCAAAACGTGTAGAACTTTATCTCTTGTCTTCTATGGACCAAAAGTGACGTGATGAAATGGAAGTGGACTTGGAGAAGGTCTTGATATGGTCCCCAATCAACTTCTTTGATCATCCATGAATTCGTTACGCTCGGTTTCTTTTCCTTCACCCAAGCAAGTACCTCTGCAGACAAAAACACAGGAAACTCATTGTGTAGCAACGTTTGTTCAAATATATAACATGTAAATCTAATGTAGAACATATGCACCTTTGGTTGATTAATACATAAGGTAGTCATGGTTATATCCGAGCTAGTTGTGTCCTCATCACTCAGCATGTAGTAGGCTTGCCTTTCCCGATCGTCGACAAGGTCGAGGTCGGCGTCGTTCAGGATACATCGCGGAGCGTTGGCATCCTCCATCAAAACATCGGCTGATGAACGAGCACTAGACTCGTCTTGATGACTTGATGAAGAGCCGGATCCCTTGAACAGACGAGACAATCGCCTCCTCATTCTGCACAATGGAGTAAGAACGGACTAACTCGGCGGGGGTTAGAATAGCAAGAAATTTCACCCGTTGGTTAGTTTCACCAAAACGACTTGTATGTACGCAACTAAGTATTTGAATTTGATGGAAACTATCAAAGCTTGAATGAACTTGAGAGCAAAGTTTGGAGAGGGAATGAAAAAGTGTTGAAATGGGGTGGATTTCCCTCTCCCGGCCGGCTGGCTTATATAGGGTACCCACAACGGTCAGAAATGACATGTGGGACCCCGTTGCTCTGCCAAAAATGGAAGGTGGCCGTTGCCTGGCCGGTTCGGCCGAACCAGGGGTTCGGCCGAACCCCTGGTGGGCTCAACCAGCCCCACTTTTGACCGTTGGAATCCAGCGGTCAATGTGGTCGTGGCACAACGAACTTTCGTTGGAAATTTTATTTTGGTTTGCTCTGAAAAATTCATTTGAAAGAATTTCCTCAAAATTCAAAATCCTAAATGCAAATTTTGAAATTCAAACATGTGTTGATGCAAAAAATTCAAATTGATGAAAATAAATATGCGGATACGTACCAATTTACATGTTGGCGAAGGTCGCGTCATTTTAGGTCCGACGTGCAAGACCGTACCTCCTTCCAGTTTAGTTCGCGGATTTTCCACCGGTCTCCGGAGGTGATGGAGCGGGCGTCTTTGGCTTTCCCTTCCACACCCTCTTTGGTTTTGGTGCTTGAGACGACTTTCTCTGAGCTGGCTGCTCTAGCTTCTTGGCCGGTTTACTAGATTTCACCGGCGTCTTCCAATAACGGTTCCAGAGAAACATTGTTTCCTTTTCCAGGAAATTATGCATGAACTTCACCAGGCTATCCGTCTTGGGTGGCCGAGGCTGAGTCCGCCCTCCATCTCTGCGAGGAGGCCGCCGCCGAGCACACCCAAACCACCGCAGCCGCTGAGGCCGCGGTGGCCCGTCGCGCAGAGGAGTTGCGGCTCCAGGAGGAGACATGGCAGAGGCGGGACGCCTCGCTCGTGGAGCGCGAGGCTGAGGTCGCCCGTCACGAGGCTGCGGCGTGCCGGCTGGGCGACCAACTCACCAAGCGTGAGGAAGCCGTCACCGGTTGGGAGAGCCGCCACCTGGAGAACGCTCGGGCCGAGCGCGCCACGATGGCGGAGCGGGTGTCCGAGCTAGAGGCCAGGGAGAAGGCGGTGGCGTCGCGCGAGCAGCAAGGCGGCGCCGATCTGGCAGACAGGCTCGCCGCGAAGTAGAATGCTCTCGCCGCGAAGTAGAATGCTCTCGCAGGACCGGGCTGGGGAGATCGTGGCCCTTCATCTTGCCAACGATGTGGGGCCCGGCCTCCTCCATGACGTCATCGAACGGCTGGGACGAGAAGCTGCCGACCACCAGGCCGGCGCTCGCACACCGGCTAGACGAGATGGCAGTCGTCAAGTCGTTGTCGGCCTCCTTGGCGCGGGCTACGGTGGAGCTCGTCCTGGCGAGCTACCAAGCCCGCGACCCCAAGTTCCTCCCTTGATGGCCGCTCAAGGACTTCCCCCCGGGCACCGAGGCGGCGGCCCGAGAGCAAGTCCAGGAGGCGGCTGACGAGATTGTGTCGAGCTTCGAGGGGACAGCCCCTCGGTTTACTCTTGCAACACCCTCGGGCGGTGGCGGCGATGGCGATGGTGATGGTGATGACGAAGATTGGGACGAAGTTGTTAGCGGCGCCAAACTCGGAAGCCCGGCGCCCCGTGATTGCCCTTTTCATCATTTCCCTTGCTTTTGTGCTTTTGCAATGGACATGGTTAACTATAGGCCTTCGTGCCGCCCCCGATGGATGTAAATAAGCCTTCTTCCTCTTATTCCTGCACTCTTTTCTAATCTATGAATGCCTGTGACAAGGGAGAGAGGCGAAACCACTTAGCTAATTTCTTTACGGGTGAACCGCTGTTTTCGTTCCTTCGCTCCCTCCTCGGGCTCGTTCGGATAAGGGAGAAGAATCCGCGCTTAGCCCCCGTCACCTAAACGGCGAGGGGCAGAGCCGTCACCCTGGGAGAGCCGCCCAGCGGGACTGGCCAGGCCGGGGCTACGACGACCGGGGGTCGGGGATGACTGTGCGTAGGTCCTTCTGAGCCCTCAGGGTTCGCCGCAGCTCGGGGCACAGCCCGCGTCCGTGCTCCCCTTCGGCGATTTTCAGGTTACCCGACACCACCTAGGGGCCATGGTAAGTGTGAACCACTCCTAAACCGAGACTGAGGAAGGGAAAGAAAAAGCGCACAATAGCTTTGATTAAATAGAAGGATTTACTGAGGAGAAAATGAGATACAAAATATTGACAATGGTAGCCCCGGCCAAGCCCGCACAACCCGAGGGATGTGCGGGGGTTGGTCCGAGCCCCAAAAGCAAAAACACTCGACATCATGGGTAGAAGCAGCGAAGATGTTTGATGTTCCAGGGTTAGGCAGCTCTGTGCCATCTTCCGTGGCCAACCGAACCAAACCCGGCCGGGGGACGCCGATCACTTTGTACGGTCCCTCCCACATTGGTGCAAGCTTGCTCAATCGTAAGCGCGACTAGACGCGGCGTAGGAAAAGGTCGTGGACTTGCAGTGATCGGGCCCAGACGTGGCGCTGATGATAGCGCTGCAAGCTCTGTTGGTAGTGCACCGTCCGAAGGGCCGTGCGCCTTCTTCGCTCTTCCAAATAGTCGAGGTCATCGCGACGGAGCTCGTCCTGGTCCGCCTCGTTGTAGAGCGCAACACGAGGCGAGCCCAGGGAGAGCTCCAACGGTAGGACCGCCTCGACGCCGTACACCAGGAAGAAAGGGGTTTCTCTTGTTGCACGGCTCGGGGTAGTCCAATTGGCCCACAGCACCACAGGTAGTTCCTCAAGCCAAGAGTCCCCGTGCTTCTTGAGGACGTTGTACGTCTTGGTTTTGAGACCTTTGAGGATTTCAGCGTTGGCGCGCTCGACTTGGCCGTTGCTCTTGGGGTGGGCGAGTTAGGCGAAGCATAACATGATGCCCATGTTGTCGCAATAGTCACCAAACAGCTCACTGGTGAACTGGGTGCCGTTATCCGTGATAATACGGTTCGGCACTCTGAATCGGGATGTGATGCCTCTGATGAACTTCAGGGCCGAATGCTTATTGATCTTGATGACCGGGTAAGCCTCGGGCCACTTGGTGAACTTGTCGATGGCGATGTACAGGTGCTGGTACCCGCCACGGGCCGCTTTGAAGGGCCCCAGGATATCCAAACCCCAGACTACGAAAGGCCAGGAGAGCGGGATGACCTGCAAAGCCTAGGCCGGCTGATGGGTTTGCTTTGCATGGAACTGGCAAGCCTTGCATCGCCTGACCCAGTCCTAGGCATCCTAGAGTGCGGTTGGCTAGTAGAAGCCTTGCCGAAAGGCTTTACCAACCAAAATGCGCGAGGCCGAGTAGGCCCTGCATTCTCCCTCATGGGCATCGGCGATGAGCTCGACGCCTTGCTTCCGAGGGATACACTTCAAGAGGACTCCATTAGCGTCGCGCCGGTAGAGGGTCCCTTCTACTAGCACATATCGTTTGGAGATGCGCGCGAGCTTTTTGGCTTCCGCGCGATCCTCAGGAAGAGTGTGATTGTCGAGGTATGCCCGAATGTCGGCCATCCAGGCGATCTGACGTGTGGGGTCGGGGTTGACCCCCTCGGGCCCCGAGGCCTGTGGCTCGCTAGGCATCGAGGTGGGGGTTGTGGCGTTAAGCACCCTCGGGGGATCCGAGCGCGCCGATGGCTGCATGAGACTTTCTTCAAAGACTCCCGGGGGGAGTGGGGCTCGCGCCGACGCAATACGCGACAGCTCATCGGCGACTGCGTTGTCGCGCCTGGGAATGTGTCAGAGCTCGAGCCTGTTGAAGTGGCGCTCCATGCGTCGCACTTCGCGGACGTAGGCGTGCATCTGTGGGTCGGTGCACTGGTACTCTTTGGAGACCTGGTTCATGACCAGCTGGGAATCACCTAGAACCAGGAGGCGGCCGCTGCCCATAGTCCCGCTAGGAGTCCTTCGTATTCCGCCATATTGTTCGTGGCTCGAAAATCGAGATGAACGACGTACTTGAGGACATCCCCGCTTGGCGAAGTTAGTGTAACTCCGGCCCCGGCACCTTGAAGGTTCAAATAACCATCAAAGTGCATAACCCAGTGTCCGATGCGGATGTCGGCGTTTGGGTTTTCCCCTCCTTTGGGAAGGGAGGGATCGGGGGGCTAGTTGGAATCGTCCGCCGGGGTCCATTCAGCGATGAAGTCAACTAAGACCTGACTTTTAATCGCGTGTCGTGATTCGAAATGTAGATCGAATTCAGCGAGTTCGATGGCCCACTTCACGATCCATCTGGTACCCTCTCAGTTGTGCAGGATCTGGCCAAGGGGGTAGGACGTTAGCACGAAAACCCGATGCGCCTGGAAGTAATGGCGTTGTTTCCTCGAGGCCATCAGGACTGCGTAAAGCATTTTCTGGGTCTGATGGTATCGGGTTTTCGCGTCCCAGAGTGCCTCTCTAACGAAGTAGACGGGCCGCTACATCTTTCGGCGGGGCCGGTCTTTATCGTCAGGGGTGCCTGCCTTGGGGCGCTCGTCCATCGGGGCCTCGGATGGGCTCCCTACCCCGTTCGTGCGAGTGGTCTCGTGGCCGCCTACCAGAGCCTCCCGTTCTCCCGTGGTGGCCTCGGGGCCTACCTAGGGTTCGGGGGCTTCGGCAGTCGGGTCGCTGGGGGACGAGGGGCCGTCACCGGTTAAGGGGGCCCCTGGTTCCTCCCCATGACTGGGCTCATGTCCCGCGGCTCGCGGGTGGTTCTCATCGGTCTCCACTATGAGGGCGGCACTCACCGCCTAGGGGGCCGCGGCCAAGTAGAGTAGTAGCGGTTCCTTTGGCCCCGGGGCCACAAGGGTCGCGGGAGAGGTCAAGTAAGCCTTCAACTGGTTGAGGGCCTGTCCCGCTTCCTCCGTCCACACAAACGGCCCCGACCATTTGAGGAGTTTGAATAGGGGTAGCGCCCTCTCTCCCAGCCTTGATATGAATCGGCTTTGGGCGGCCATGCATCCAGTGACACACTGCACATCCCTTAGTTTATTGGGGGGCGCATCATCTCTATTGTGCGTATTTTCTCGTGATTAGCTTCTATGCCTCGTGCTGAGAATAGAAAACCGAGAGGCTTGCCCGCCGACACACCGAACACACACCTTTCGGGGTTCTGTTTCATGCGCGTGGACCTAAGGCTATCGAAGGTCTCAGCCAGATCCTGCAGCAATGTGTCTTTTTGGCGCGTTTTTACCACCAAGTCATCGACATAGGCCTCAACATTATGCCGTATCTGATTACTCAAAGTAATGCGAGTCATGCGCTGAGAAGTAGGGCCTGCATTCTTTAAACCAAAAGGCATAGTTGTATAACAAAAGGTGCCCACAGGGGTAATGGAAGCAGTTTTTTCCTCATCTTCCCAAGCCATGCGAATCTGATGGTATACTGAATAAGCATCTAGGAAACACAAAAGGTTGCACCCCATAGTGGAGTCGACTATCTGATCTATGCGTAGTAAAGGGAAAGGATCCTTGGGGCATGCCTTGTTGAGGTCCGTGTAGTCGATGCACATCCGGAGCTTGCCGTTGGCCTTTGGAATGACCACCGGTTCGCCAGCCACTCTGGGTAGATGACCTCTCGGATGAAGCCGGCCTCCAGGAGCCGCGTCACCTCGCGGATGAAGGCTTGTCGCTCCGGGGCTTGGCGCCGTATCTTCTGCCAGATGGGTCACGCATCCGACCGCACGGCGAGGTGGTGCTCGATCACCTCCCTGGGGACCCCAGGCATGTCCGACGGCTTCCAAGCGAAGATGTCGAAGTTTGCCCGCAGGAAGGAGACGAGCGTGCTTTCCTATATGGCGTCCAAGTTACTGCCAATCTTGGCGGTCTTGGACGGATCGTGGCCAAGGGGTATCTCCTTGACGGGCACCTCGTCGCCCGAGGTGATCCGCTTCTCGGAGGCGCGTGATGTGGAGGCCTCCGGGGGTCTGCCGGCCTCCTCTGGCTCGGTGGCTGCCGCCAAACTGTCGGCACGCTGCTCCGCACAAGCCAGGGCGATCTTGACATCGCTGGAGATGGTGATAGGGCCGTTGGGGCCCGACATCTTAATCTGGGGGTAGGCATAATGGGTGGCAGCCATGAACTTCACCAATGCAGGTCTCCCCAGGACCGCGTTGTAGGGCAAATTGAGATTCGCCACATCGAAGTCGATCCGCTCGGTGCAGAAGTTGGTGGGGTCGCCGAAGGTGACCGGGAGCTCGATGTGGCCCAAAAGCCACGTATTCCCCGGGGTCACGCCGATGATCGGCAGCGACGGCTGGAGCTTCATCCCCGGAGCCTTGAGAGCATGAAAGGCGGCCGGGGAGATGATGTTGAGGCTGGCCCCCCGTCGATCAAGACGCGTCTCAACTTGACGTTGTAAACGGTCGGGGAGACCACGAGGGCCAGCTTCCTTCCGCGGGCAAGCACCGTCGGGTTGTCGCTCTAGTCGAAAGTGAGATTCACCTCCGACCAGCGCGCCCGCCGTGCCGCTTCGTGGGTCGGGACGGCGGCCAGAAGCGCACGCCTCATGGCCTTGAAGCTGCGACAGGAGACTTGAGCGCAAGCCCCTCCGTCGAGCGTAGCGACGGTCTGCTGAGGTTCCTTGAACTCCAGGTCCTCGCTGTCATCGTCATCATCGGCGGGGGCCTTTTTCTTGGCATCCCCTTGCCGGTTGCCAGCGGAGGTTGTGGGGGCCTTGCCCTCCCGGCGACTCTGCTGTCTCTCCTCATCGGTCTTCCTGTACCGCACGGCCAAGTTCTTGACCGTGCGACAATCAGCAAGGCTGTCCCGATAAGTGTTGTGCATCGAGCACCACTTGTCCGCCGAACGGCTTTCGCCGGGGGTAGTGGCGCTTGGCTTGCTGTCGGTGGCCTTCTCCTTGCGCGGGGGCTGTGAGAGACCATCCGCGCAAGGACGTGGCCCTCATCGTCAGAGTGGGCCGGTTTCCTCTTCCTCCTCTTGCCCCGCCGCTTGGAACGGGAAGAGAGCTCGGGGGCAGCCATAGCTCCCGCACCAGAGCCAGAGGATTCCGGGCCCACGCCTCCTCCTTTCGAGCCACCTTGTCCGCCAGCTGAAAAAGCTTTGCGGTGGTCTTGGGCTACTTGGAAGCAATCTTCTCGAGCATGCGGTTATGCCGCACACCACCCCGGAACGCATAGACGACCGCATGGGCCGGTATGCAGGGGATGGTGTTGCGGACCTGGCAGAAGCGCTGTATGTATGAGCGGAGGGACTCGTCGTCCTTCCGCTGCACAGCGTGTAGGTCCGCCTCCTCTCCCGGACGAGGGTTTGTGCCCTGGAAGTTCGTGATGAACTGCTGGCACAAATCCTCCCAGGAGTGGATGGAGTTGGGGGGCTAGGTCATGAGCCAGCCTCGCACCTAACACTTGAGGGCCATGGGAAAGTAATTCGCCATGACCCGGTCGTCACCCCCCGCAGCCTCGATGATCATGGTGTAGATCTGGAGGAACTCAGAGGGGTTGACGCAGCTGTCATACTTCTCGGTGAGGTTGGGGCAGAACTTCGGGGGCCACTAGACATTCCGGAGACTTGCCACGAAGGCCTTACACACGGCCCCACCGGATGGGGGTGTGGGGGGCGGGCCGCCTCGCGCGGGGGGTTTGGGGGGGGGGGACACTCCGGACGAGGAGGCGCCTTCCCCCAGGCGGGCAGCACGGTGCTCGTCCCTACGGCGCTCGATGTTGATCCGAGCGTCCTGCTCCCCGTAGAGATTGTCGTGGTGCCCTCGGCTTCTCGAGGGCCTTGACGACATCTGGGCTGTTGATCGCCGCGAGGCCAGGGCCGACCGACGGGCCCTCCTCCTCGCAGACGAGGAGAGGGCAGTGGGGGTACGTGAGGTACCAGTAGTCGCGGGCCGGCCATCGGCGGCCAGCTGCCGTTGAGCGGCAGTGACCAGGTTGGCCACGTCATCCAGCCATCGCTGGACGGGGATTTCTGACGGGGGGGGGGGGGGTGCCGCAAGAGAGCCACCACCGCCTAAAGCGTGCCCTGGGGCGTGCCGCCGTCACCGTAGGTCGGATGACGACGCATCCGGGCGCGGTGTGGCCTCCTCTCATCAGGCGGCGGGGAGAGGGCTGAGCCCTCGGACCGATCAGGGTTCTGCCACCATCGGGGGCCGCAGCGTGGGGGAGACGGAGAATTCTTGCGGTGGTGGCGGGGATCGCGGCTCCCGCTACCATCTTCACTCTCAGAAGGAGTGGGAGTGTATGCCACCACCTCTTCCTCTACTACCTCAACCATGGTTGTCGAGGACGGAGGGAAACTTGAAGCGGAAGGAAACAACTTCTTTCTCAAGCGCGCGGATTTCCCCCTACCTGGCGTGCCAGTTATCGAGGAGTGCCAGCTATCAATGGTACACATCTACCGTCGGTTGTGTAAACGGTGACTGGAAAAAATTGCGGGACAGGTTCTATCTTGCCTTCTTTCCAGTAACCCGTATCACTGCCCTTCGCGTAGAAATCCTCAGCTTCCAGTAGGAAAATAACGAATCTATAGGTGCGGCATGGTCCAGATTTACTAATTTAGTACAATCTGGTCCAAACTTGTCTATACCCGAATATGTGTTGTTGCAACATTTCCATACGGGTTTAGACAAGAAGTCTGCATTCTATCTCGACATCACTGCCGGAGGATCGTTCATGCATAAAACTCCATCCGAAGGGAAGGAAATTTAAGATCGATTTCTGGAAAACACCTCCTTTGTAGAGCAATATTTTGAACTCCTCCATCCCATCGAGCAAAAACCTTGTCCCTCTGGCTCTCAAGAAGTTGTTCTCGACATTTGTCAAGAAACAACCTTGCTCTTGCACGATGCATCTCTTGAGAAGGAGAACCTGCAAGCCATGGACAAGCTTGAGACATCAACTCTGGAGGATGAGAACTCCACAAATGAGCATGAAAGCTTCTCTT